GGATACTATAAATTCATGAATTTGTAATATTATCTTTCCTAATTTTTCTGACATTCAGCTTATTTTATGTTGATGCTATTCAGCTGTAACCTATCCGTGTTATTGATTTGATGTTATTTAAACAGCATTAATGTTGTTCATAACACTAATTCATTCATTCTCTATAGTGTGCATATATAACTGTAGCGCCTGGTGATCAATTTGTCGAAAAGACTACCCTTTGTTCAGTATCCATTCTTTTCAAACTTTTTGTCTTCTAAATCTCTAAATGAGAATTTTTATCAAAAGGTTTTAATAGGCTCTACTATACGTCACTTTTGCATCGCGTAAGAAATACTTCAGAATCAATTAGAATATTCCCAGTTAGGTAGGATAAAAACTCGCTGCACAAGAATCACTGACCAAAACTTCTCAAAGACGGTCAAATATCTGAATCACCTTCATTTATTCAGTCAAACAAAATCACATCGTGAGACAGCACATGTTCATTGTAGCTCACAACCACAAATAGAAGCCTCGTAATAAGAGATTAAGCGTGGAGAAAGACAAGTAATAGAGATCAAGTCAATATTTGAAAGGTGAATGTCGGAACGATGTTATATAGCCTAGGCAAAAAATGAAAATAAGTACAAAGTTGTTTGTGACTTTGAAATAAGTAAAATATAAATATTGTTATAAAATCGTTGAAGAGGTATATGTCAAACGATTATTCTGTTCCATTCTCCTAGGCGCTAACGCATTTTATTCATATTATCATATAGTGCAGCAAATAGATTTAAATATATATTCTCCAAAGTAGAGCACAATGTATATTCACAGTTATGTCTGATCTTTTAAATTTTTGCATGAATATTCTATACTAGCATTATGAGCAAATAAAGGCATGAAAGTGATAAGAAAGCTTCAAGCTTTTCATGTGATCTGTGTGGTACCAAAAAAAAAAACAAAAGCGGCTGCTTGATGCTACAGACGACTGAATGATTTGAGCATTTGGCAACCGCTCATGTCAAATGGTAATACATGGTAGCCAGGTAGAAGCGATCCAAACAACAGATAGTCGGTAGATTCATCATCTGTTGTATTTGTGCCATGACTCAACCCAGTACCGAACAATCTCCTCAAAGGCACACGATTACGCCACCTAGCCATAGCTGAGGCTCTAGAGATTAATACAGAGAGACCAGACCTGTGTGTAGAGAAAAAACTTATTCACTCCCTTTGTCTACCCTGGCCCACTATAAGGTCACCAGGATCATAATTTTTTCGTACTATTATTATCATTATTATCATTTTGTGATGTCATGTCTTACTCATTTCTCCGCCCAGTTTATTTCACCTCATTATTACCCTTATTTTTGTCAAACTTTGTGATTTTATACTAAGCCTACCAATTTTGTAGCATCTTATTACAATTCACAATTAAGCCTCTTTATTTTATCATTAGACATTATCGGTCAACCCTCACATTCACAGCCCAGTTGTTAATGTGTGTTTGCATGTATTTTGTGTTTATCGCATTTTTCTCACCCCAAGGACACTTGTATTCAGTTGACTGTAAAACAACACTGTATCACCTAATTGTTCATTCACACTTCATCACATTTTTCTGACTATACACCCTATACAAACTTGATTGACTATGTTAACTAATGGACTATCATCTTAACTTACACATGCACCCCAATACAGTTTCTGATACTACTTTCATTTGCCTTTATTGGCTAAATGTACTCTATTACTCATGCACTTATAACTGTAGAGCCTGAAGAAGTTATCGAAAACAATTGTTCGCTCAAAATCTTGTTTTGATTTCAACCCACAACGTTGAACTACTTCAAGTCACACTAATTTTGGCTAGCTAACTAGGCAAATCGGTCATAACAAATACACTATCATGTTTTGACCCTCACATAGATAGAAACGAGTTGGGATTCTACTGCAGTTTTGAAGATAATACGCCCCATAATCAAACAGTCAGAATATGTAACATACTTTCAGATTAAAGTGAACCGCCTCCAAAGACTGAGAGGAATTGTCATTAAATTCAAAGTTTTGTAACTCAACAAAATATAATATACTCATATAATTACACTAATCAAATCCTAATGGTTAACACGTATCAATTTGTTATACACACAAAGAATATAGTACAGATTTAAGCTTGAGAAAACATCGACAGATTCACGAAACTCTTTCCTGTTAGGTAACTGAGCTAGTAAAATAAGAAAAGAAAAGCTGTGGAATTCAAATTCTAAAAGCTGAGGTTTCCAAGTTAACTGATTGCATACATCTTTCGAGTCACCCCGGAATGAAGGAGAATATTGTGTGATTAACATGCTGGGCTGAATGTAATTGGAAAAATGTTATGAAATACAAGACGATGGTGACTAGTCGGAATCGATTCATGCAATGCGCGGAAGGAAAACTGACAATTCACATCAATATTTTAAAACGCGTTCACTGATTGGCTATTTCAAAATATAATATATTAGAAAGGTGATAATTTCATCATGGAGTAGACTTATTTAATAAAATCACACAGGGGTACAATATTGTTTACTAATAATGTTTCGAGCACATCTGTTTGCTCATAATACTATTAAGGCATTCATATAACTTTCGTTTATGTAATTTTACAGTAAGACTCCGGTAAATAGTGCATCATCGAATAATCAGTATGCGGAATGAACCAGATGGAGAATCACAAATAATAAATCTATGAATTTATTATGACTAATTGCCACAATAATTTTCATATTCTCAACCCTATTTTAACACCTTACTTTCCTGCCTCTTATTTGTGATTGTGACGTATAAACCTTCTGACCCAAACTGATAAAAGTTTGATTCTTTATGTGATTACCTTTTATACCCATATGTGTATAATAAGTACTTGTTATCAGAATGCTAAAAGTATGTTGGGCAAATACATGGCACCTTCCCAAAAAATTGCGTCTTATTATCGTTTTGGTTTAAGTTAATCAAGGCAACTAACTACTAGTGGTCTCTCTATGTCATGAATTGACAGAAGTTACAATTCATGCACCAACCATTGGATAGGGTCCCGGTGGCTAAATGTTCCACGAGCTCACCGTGTATTCAGAACGTCGTGGGTTCTAACCTACTTTGGTGGGTGCATACTGCTGAAGAATCCCGAACTAGGACGAAACAGCTGTCAGTACTCCCTGCAGGTTTTTTAATACTTCTATAACCGATATCAGCTCATGATGAAATCCTGTAACCAATCAATCAAATCTCTACAAACCAATACTTGAATTATTGGTCTAATGTTGAATCTAGTGTGATTACAATAGCCAATTTTTCCCTCAGATGCACATCAAATGGATACGGAAATTACATTAAATAAATTTTTGTTTATTGTTAAAAATAGGACTACTGATAGTGTGTGTCAGTGCCATATGCAAAGTAAAGTAATTGAAAACAGTGAGGTTGGAAAACTATTTGTAATCGATCATATTGTCAATGCAGATGAAACGTGCATTGATGGTTCAGTGGCAGAATGATCGCCAGCCAGACTGGATTTCTGGTTAACAAACTCCCCAAGGTTTTAATTTGTGTGCGGTAATTGACTAGTAAAGAAAATGACATAATTTAATCAGATAAGTAGAAATGCCACGGAACATAATGATCTTATCGAACCTTATTTAGAATGAAAAATTAAATTACAATAATACAGCTGTACTACTTTTTTAAAGGAAATTAACAATCAGTATGTAAATGGGAAGTCTGTTACAAGATGAAAAGTATATCTTTGTAATATAAACGCATATGAAACATTTTACAATTCACAAAAATACATCAGTATTCTCACTATACGGATCAGAGACTTGGCGCGTCAAACTTCAAACAAACTACAGACCTTCATCAAAAGCTGTCTTCGCTCAATACGCCACTCAAGATCAGATCACCGGTCAGAAAAGATCAGAAACAGAGATCTCTGGGAGAGAATCAACCCGGCAGGAACCAAATGTGCAACAAATAAGCAGGAAGAAATGGAGGTGGATTGGCTGGCCATACTCTAAGGAAACCATCAGGTAACATCACACAACAGGTCATCACTCGAGTGGAACCCTAAAGGGAAGTGGTGAGTTGGTCGTCAGTGCGACAGTGGGTCGACTTGGAGGAGGTCATGTGAAGAGGAGATGAAAGCATGTGGTCAGATTTGGAGCCAGGTGAAAACGTTGGAAGAGAGCCGAAAGCAGTTCAGACGCGCGGCTGAAACCCAATGTTCCTCTAGGAATTAAAGGAAATAATAATGATAGTAATCAGTACTCATATGAATTATAGATTTTATGATTAGTTGTTCAAAATTTGTCCAGTTAACAATTAGACCTGTAATTATGGATTGTGTAAATCGCTGTTTGCGTAGAAAAGCACCGTCTTTTCCTACATATTTACTTTAACATTATTTTTTTAGAGTTAAGCAGAAGTGTTACTAAGAGATCATTAAGGAATCCTATAAAATTAATCTTTTAATGACATTCGTTAACAAATCGTTAGTACTATTATTTTCAAATACACTTCATTATCTAATCCCATACATTTGTGCATACATGCTGGTCGATTTCTTACAAAACATTCAGTCACTTTTATACAAAGCCTTCTTTCAAGAAGGTCCACACGTGATTTACTTATAAAATACTTAGTTATTCACAAAATACAGAACAATTTAGAATTGGATAAAAAAACAAACAATAAACTAAGCAAATCGCCTTACTGGGAGTATTCAATGTTAGATCGATTAACCATTATCTGGTAGTTCTTAAATTTAAAATTGAGTGTATGTGTGTGCTTTAATATAATTCAGAAAACCTCAGATCAACATTGTTTACGTTCACAACTCTAATGGATTAGATTTTTATACAAATGTATATGAAAGCGTTTACTTAGCACAATGTTATTCATATTAGTGTGTACTGTAGAGTGGAGTAAAAACTTATGCATAGAAAAACGGGAAATAAACCTATAGAAGACATCTTATGAATAATACACAGTCAACAAGTGGTCATAAACCAAAAACCAAATTACACATTTCTTCAAGTGATACACCACAAACAGTATCAGGTTCTCCAGCAGGAAGAGGATTTTCAAGAGCTTCATCAGCTGATTCTGTTTTCGATGATATCTCATCGAAAGCGCATGCTTTATTTTCTATTCTTGATGAAGAAAACAAAGGCTATCTCGATAATCAGTGTTACTGAAAGTTTGTGATTCTGGTCTAACAGAATCTCAGATAAATGACCTCATATTACAATTAGATCATGATGGAGATGGGAAAGTTAGTGCAGATGATTTCATGCTTGGATTACGTACATTGGCGAAACGGAATAGTCTGATTCGGGCTTCATTAAGAGCCACCACAGTAACAAATTCTTCGCGTTATTTGATTAAACGCTGTTCAGATTCCTCTGATTCACCTAGAAGTCGTCTGGGATCAGATGAAACTGGTTCAGATGTTGACGACAAATTATACAATAAACATCATACAAAAATAAACTGTAACACTATTCAGTCCGTAAGAATCAGAACTAAGAGTAGACAAAGACTTCATCAGAGAATTCTGACATTATCATGTCAGCAAACAACTTCCAAATTAACTAGTCAACCTTCTACTTCCTTGCCCGATATAAGTTCCGTTGATGAATGCTTAAAATGCTTGAACTGGTAAGTTTATCATCTAGCTTAAATTTTTTTAAACTTTATAATGACCCTACTTCCAGTAGTGTTGAAGTCCTTCATTACTAGATTAACATATTTCGGATATTCAACACCTATCATACTTCTCCACTCTTTAACTCACACAAATCATCATTTTTCTTTATATCACTTATTTGATTGACTATAGGTTGAGTCGAGAAAATTGTGACCTTCAAAAGACAACAATCATTAAGAATCTATGTTCTCATCCTCTACAAGATCAAATAGGATGTATATAAGCACCTAGATTAGTTGTTTGTATACCTAACTGTTGAGGCTTAGAAACCGTTGAAAATGTCTCAGTTCATCCTGCAATTTCAGATAGATATTAATTCAAATAACTAATTAACGTTGAAAATGTTTTTTACAAAGTTACATTTCAGGAAATTCAGCTAAGCGCACAGCTAAATGATAGTAGTGACACCGCTTAGGTATTGGTTATTAACATGAATACTGTTTCCTCAAATGCTTTTTTGACTCAGATTTTTGTTTCATGTTTAACCATTATCACATTGCCAACTTTTATTTGCTTGATCCATATAAAGCACGGAAACTGAGTACTGTATATTCATTGCTTCTTAGGCACAGTTCATCGTGCACTGTCACATCCAGGTGACCAAAAATATCTGAAAGAATAATTTTTTAATCTTTCATCCTCTGTCTCTGCCCTTGAGCGATATGTGAGGTTACAATATGCTCAGTGCATGAACCATAAATCGCATAGAAATCAATACAGGCATACAGATTAAGGTGATATCCTGTCACTTACATCAGAGACATCATCTTAATGTGTACAGAAAATATTAGATTCACCTTCCAAGAAAATGCACACAAACAAATCGACGGTGTTGCGATGAGGAGACCTCTGGGGCCCCTGTTAGCAGATATATTCGTGCCGAAATTGAACAAACAAATTTAAGGTATGCTTAGAGAATTTATGCTATGTATATATATATATATAATCATACTCATCCAAATATCCGCGTGACTTCAGAACCTGAATCGAATAACAAACTCGGTTTCCTGGATATTACAAAGAACAAGAGGGATGATGGAACGATTCAGCGATCTATTTTTCGTAAACAGACATGGAGTGGTCAATATCTTCATTTTACCAGTTTTGTTCCTATCCGGTATAAACGTTCCCTTGTGAAATGTTTGTTCTCAAGGGCCCGAAAAATATGCACGAGTGACATATTAATGGATAAGTTCCGATATATACATTCAGTTTTACTTTATTCTTTTTTTTCCTTCACGTTCCCCAGTGGAACATAGGGCATCAAGCTAATGGCTTGAAGTTTCTGTAGCAGTGTCTGTCTTTAAAGGATGAGGTTGGTAGCCCCATGCCCAACCTTTCCTCTTTATCAGCATTATTTACGGCTTAGCGAGGTAAAGGAGTGCGCCGGTAGGGAATGGAACCCCAGGCCATGTGGATGATCGGCGAGCATCCTAACCGCTATGCCACCGACGCACTCAGTTTTATTAGCTAATGGTTATCCGGAAAAAATCTATCACTTGTCACAGTAAAGAAAGACCACATCTCGAAAAGACAGCTTCTGTACCAAAGAAAGCTATCTTTATTAACCTACCATTCAAGGGCGACCAGATTATGCAGTTCGAAGGCAGCTCAAAGACTTCGGTCAGCCATCAAACGCACATTCTACGCCGCAACACTCTTTTTCTCACTTGCCGAACATTTTCGATCCCTATATCTACGATTAAAGGACGAAATTCTGTCGACTCTACTCCAAACTGTATGTACAAGTTGACCTGCAGCTGCGGTGACACCTATATAGGTAGGACCGATGGAATGTTCTAATGTCATCGAAAAGGACATGTTCCAAAATGGCTACTAAATCATATCGAAAATCCTAACGCGAGTAATCCTTATAGAAATCCAGCATCATCCATTGCAAAACACTTATTAATGTCAGGTCACGAAATCAATATTAGCGACTGTTTCACAGTTATTTCATCACATAACTCTAATTCAAGGTTATTCAAGGTGATGGAAGCCCTTTGGATTGATCACATACAGCCTAAACTGTGTGTACAAAAACACTAGGCTTCACCCTTCGCCTACTATGAACTGACTATTTGACCTATTTAAATATTATTGGTCATTAGTATGTACTTTTGTTTTTACTTAACTGAGTAATTGTTATGATCTTTATTATTGTTAACCATATTATTTGTAAAGCAGTAGTAAAGAAACTACGAAATTATACCATCTCGCGAAATTTGTCTCCTAAAAGCATGTTTGTTTTGTTTTCCCGGTTTACAAATACTATCAAAGGACTCCTTAGTGTCATAGTTATGCATCTTTGTGGCGTTGTTGCCGTTATACAGACATAACTTTTACTTTATTGATTTAAGGCAGTAAACGCACTCCAACTCAACAGTCTTTTCGTTACTTCTGTCTTCTTGTGTCGCATGTTTAGAGTTATCTTGTGTCGTGTCATCATTATGGTTTACATGGCGAATGAGTAATTAGCACAGTCGGCTAAAAAATAACCAAGTCTACATACGGTCATAACAGTTGTATTATATGATCTGAATATATAAGATCACCATTTTAAAAAAAAACAATAATGCATTAAAATCTCGTAATAAATTTCCGCATAATCACGTAGAGCTCATAAATTTTAGATGGTTTTATTACTCAAAAATAATTTATTTCTCACTATTCACAGTAAAATAAGCCAGCAGTTATATATATATGATGTGAATAAACATTTTAATATAATTACAATAATGACATAAAAAATGACAATCAGTGTAACAGAAACGTGCTGATAAATAAATATTTCATTCCAATATTCATAGTTCAGCATAGCAAATGAATGACTTTCAGTTAGCTCGATGTTTTCAACTTGATTTATGTTGTATCTGTAAGTAAGAAAAAACATAGCATCTCATTTGTCACTATTATATAGGTAGAATAACACGAAGTATGAATAAAATGTGGAAAAATAAGCCAATATTGATATATTATAAACGATTCTATTAGATGGTTGATGGCAATTGGCAGGAAGACTTGGCACACTTCAGTAGAGCGTATCTGCAACCATCTTGAAGAAAACTCATTTCCCCTCTCATCATCCAGTGCTCCAGTCAGAGACGTTACCACTGAGCTATTCGGGTTCGTGATTGACCTCCCGTAGGACTGTATTGGACAATTTGATCGGATACTAGTAACTATTGTGATGTGCCTGGCTAGTCCTTTGTTTGGTGCAGAGTGAGTTCTATCAGTCAGGTTTGCACTGGGTGACACGAGTTCGAATCTTGGAAAGCACATGAGTTCTTTCAGGTTTGCAGATACGCCTTGCTGACAAGTGCCAACAAGCACAAAACCTAGGTCCTACCATCCAATATTATCAAATCAATGTGCACTGTGATGATGAGCCGCCTAGAATGGTGGCCACTTTGCAGACCTGATTGATAGAATTCAGCTTGCACCAAAGATAGGATTATACACATCACATGACACTAGTTACTAGTGTCAAATGTCAAATTTATTTTTCCTAGTGTTAGTCTTGCAGAGATTCGATTACTTAAAAGTGCGATAACGAGCTTATATTAGTTAAGGAATCATTAGAAAACTATGAACTACCAGGAAACTATTTCTTCCTGGTTTGAACTCTCCAGATGTAAACAGTCTACTGGTTTGAACCCAGGATATATATATATATATATATATAGCCGGTTCTCATCGGCTACATATCGTGAATGTTTCAAAGGCTTTAACTGCAAAGACTATACATCTTTCTGCCTAAAAATACATCCTAATTGATTTTTTTGCCCGTAGATTTATACGTTAACATTGTGGATATTCTTCTGGCATTATTTTCACTTATAAGATTAAAGCATTATACTATTCAGTTGTAAAGATGCAATCATGTCTGATATCTATGAAGAAACCATATAGGCTCAATAAAAAGGAAAAGTAGGTCGGCTTTGAGCACAAATACTCGCCGAAGACATTAGCTAGGGATCGCGCCATTTCTTGAATTGGCCGAAGTTAGAATTCATGGGCCATCGTTTCGAGTGCCAGTGGCTTAATGGTATACGTGCTCACCTTGTAACCGGAAGGTCCTGGGTTCGAATAGTGGCGGTGTGTGCGTACTGATGAAGAGTCCCAAACTAGGACGAAACAGCCGCCCAGTACTCTTTGCAGGTTTTTCAATGGTTCTCTAACAAATGTCAGCTCATAATGAAATCTTGTAATCAACCAAATCCCCACAAACGAACACTTAAATAAAATTTAAGTTATACTTTAATGTGAAATTCAATAAACTTAAATTAAGAAGAAAAAACTACTATTAACCTTCATGCGCACTTAGTAAGTATTAAAATGTATCAACCTTAGAATTGCAAGACACTGGAAAAAATAACAGTGTTTAATTGAAATCTTAATAGCGCTACACTTAATCTCATAAGCAGTTATGAAGACATAATATTAAGGAGTCATAAGTGATAAATCGATCAGCCGTGTTTCATTGCATGGAATTTCCACCTCTATATTTTGACTTTTCTTGTGAAATAGCAGTTAAAGCAGAAAATGCTTGTTTCATCCTATCTGAGACTGACCAAGTGAATACACATTCATGCAATCAAATGTTCTTGCTAAAACTCAAGTCTAGCGGTCATAACTTCGGCTTTTTAAATAAGTAATGCTGTGTTGAATTCTCAAAAAAAAGCTGTATCCCACTCAGCTGAATTTACATTCGTCTAACAAGTTCCCAACAGAATAAAACATGTTTCTTAGACTGCAGTGGTAACCTTTTATTTAAGCCATTTCCCACAAAACTTTCTTCAATTCTACTTTATATATACAAAGAATAACGTGCAATACATGTAACATATACTGTTTTCATTTCAATTTTAATTTTTACAACCATGGCATTCTTGGATTATCAAGAACTTTTCTCACTACCTTTCTTAGGTAAACAACAAGCGCTACACTA